CAGGAGAGGTCTGCAACGCAATGTGGTCACCTCTAGGGCGGGGATTGAACTCGCATTGAAGTGGTTGCAGCCAGCTTGTAGTGCTGTGTCCTAACCTGTTGCGCCACCAGGGAGGGCCAACAATATGGATTTTTTTTTCAGATTTATTTATTTATGCATATAGGCCAGAGGTGCAGGGCAGTGAGAGCGTCACCAGAGGCAGGGTGGGAAGCAGAACAGGCAGATCAACGACATACACTGCTGAGGGGAGCAGTATGCAAGATAGGAGAGGTCTGCTGTGCCTTGTGGATCACCTTCGGGGCTGGAACTTGAACTTGCACTGAGGTGGCTGTGGCTGGCATCCAGTACTACGCCCTAACTGGTTGCACCACCCCACCAGGGAGGACCCAAAAATAAGGATTTTTTTTTAAATGCATACAGAACTGGGGTACAAGCCAGAGGTGCAGGGGTGGTGAGAGGATTCACCAGAGACAGTGGGGTGCAGATCAGGCCAACTGACGAAGTACATTGCTGAGGGGAGCAGTGGGCCGGTCAGGAGAGGTCTGCCATGTCATGTGGGTCACCTTTGGGGCTGGAATCGAACTCTTGCTGAAGTGGCTTTAGCTTTTAGTGCTGTTCTTTAACCTGCTGCACCACCAGGGAGGGCCCCAATGTGGATTTTTAAGTAACCATATTTACAATTGCATTCTAGGATATGTTTGGTTGTTGGCCACCAAAGAAGCTTAATAATGTAGGGTGTTTGATTTATACCTTGTTGTAACTCTGAAAAGTCAACCACTTTTTTTACTGTTCAGATTTATTTAAGCCTAAAGAGCAAAGAATATTGATGATACAATCCTTGTTATTGATACCATTATTTTTTCCCTCACAGACAGCCTGTGATACCAGTTAGCAAACATTTATTGAATGTATTTTATTCATTACATTCTATTATATGAATGTAGCAGTATTTATTCATTCCTTTTTAATGTACTTCTCTTTGTTCTGTTTGTTTTTTTGTTGTTTTGTTATAGGATTGTGGGATTTTCTTTTTTCCCTTCTTCATTCTTTTCTCCTTTTTCTCTATGACAGTGTGTTATAAAAACACACTTGTAGATATATATACACCCTTATATATTTTTTATATATTTTTTTGGTATATGGCAGAACATTTCCTGAAAACAGAATGCTGGTTAAAGAAGAAATGTACTTATAATTTTGAAAGGTTAAAAATTTGAAAGATACTATATGTTTCTTATCTTAATGGATCTCCAAAAAGGTTACATCAGTTCTTTCAGATACATGTTTTCATCTTAAATCTTTCCTTTTTCTACCTCCCAATTTCCTCTTAAATGCTAGATTCTCTATTGATGCAGTTAGTGGTGATTTAGTAAAAAACAAACAAACAAAAAAAATTAATAGGTATATGTGAGATTAGGGCTAAAAAGAAATTTAACATTGATTCAGCAGTCTGATTTTGTTTGCATATTTTTTGGATTCTGGCCTTAAGTTTATCATACCATTTTAGTAGGACTTAAAAACTAAAAGGAAGAAAGTAATTGCTTTTCTCTTGTACTTTAACTTGTTTCACAAAACAAATATGGTTAAAGTAAAAGTCATTTTCCAGAACTTAGAATTACAGAGACCTGAGAACATGAATAAACTTCCATTTTGAGTTTATGATAAATTGACCGGTTCCTTCTCATTTTCACAGCCTCATATGGCTAATTGTTGATTATTATGACTTACATTGTTCTTCCAGTATTCGTTATAATGGAGAAATTTGAATCTGTTGGTAAAGGAAAAAAACATAGGTGGTATATCCCACCTTACCTTTACAGCACACATTAGCTTTTTTCAGATAACTGAATTGAATAGTATTCATTGAGCTCTAGGTGGCAGAAGTGCACCACCATATTAAAGCCGTCACTTCTGAATTAATGTTCTTAATTTATTGTTGGCATCACTGTATAATTTAAAGAACAAGTTAATTTAAGAATTGTTTGGTAGCTAGTTTTGCCACTATGAGTATTGATATTTTTAAAAATCAAAACTATTTTCACAGATGAGCTCTCTGTATTCCATTTTTATCTGCTATACTCAATAATTCTAGGTAACCATAATCCTGAAAAACCCTAAGATTTTATTTATTTATTTATTCATTCATTCATTCATTTATTTATTTTAAGATGTTTTAATTTTTTTTTATTGAAGTAACATTACAAAGTGTTTCTGGTGTGCATCATCATGAGGGCTATTTCTTTTTTTTTAAAATTTGGATATAAATTTTTTTTCACTTTGTACATTTTTCATCTCAGTTGTAATCCCTGTAGACTTCCTACCACTAATACACCCATGTTCCATCACCATAGTCCCGTGCGCTCTTCCCGCCCAGGTTTTGATCCTGTTTCCTTCTTCTCCCCTGTAAAATGTCACTGGAAAAAATCCTAAGCTTTTATATAGACCTTCATTATAACCAGATGAGGGTTTTTTTAATTATCTGAGTCTTCAAATAAAATAGATTCAGGATTTCCTTAAGAACTATAAGTACATCCTGTTTTAGTTGTGTTATGATTGCAGGTATCCCACATAAAGCAACCTGATTATAATGCCATTAAAAGCATACTTTAAACTTACATAGATTAGCTTATTTATTGTTGAAACATGATAAAATCATTTAAAGAAGATAGTAATTGACTATAATTTACCACATAAAAATAGCTGATTGATTTCCCTAGAGTTTTTCTCTCACATGTTTTTAAAGTGGTGAGATTTGATTTTCACACTTAGAACCTTTTTTTTTTTTTTT